CGGGCGGCGACGGGAAGGAAGAGCTAATCCGATCGCATCGAGTCAGGCTCACCAGGCGGCACGTTCGCCCACCGCAGTCTGAAATGCGAGTCACATGCCTACCTTGGACGTTGTGGGAAGACCGTTTGCACCCCCGCCGCGACCCTCTCATTCGCTGATCACGGGTCTCAATTGCCACCGAGGACTCAGTTTCGGGAAGAATTGTCCCGTTTGATCCCACGCGCCATCCAGGCCACGCGGTCCTCTGTCCCGCGAGGCGGCCTGCCAGCGGGCGGCCGGGAGGAGCAGCCTTAGGAGCCTGCAGGCCAAACCGCGCGGTAGCTGACCCGCCGGTGACAACAGAGTCTTACATGCAGTTTGCTGCGGACAGTCCAGTGCCTGTGCCCAGACCGCTGCATTCTGTGGGCCGCGAGCGTCCATTTTCCCAAGTTGGACTCCAGAGCCTCGAAGGTGCTCAGGTTCCCAGGCTCCGGCTGTTTCCCGAGCCTCAGACGGGGCAACGCCATCCTTTACTGAATGCACCCTCCCTCCGCCCACTTTTATTTTATTTTATTGGGCGGGGGCGGGGGTGTTTTTAAAAAAATCTTTATTGTTGAAAGTATTACGTATGTCCCCCTCCCCCATTGGCTCCCCCTTATAGCCCACCCCTGCTCCAGCTGTTCTGTTTATTTTAAAGCTGATTCTTTGATATCAGATTAGTATTTAATCTTGGTCTTTATTAGAAAAATAATAAAATCCTAGCAATTAAGGTAAAAATACCAAACACCTAACTTATGCTAAGACTTCAACATAAAAGTCAGCATTATTTGATAAAATAATGTTATCAAAAACTTTGATACATTATGGATTACAACAATTGGTATATGCATGATCTTTATCTCCTTTCTCAGGCTGCATGCTGTTCCAGGGTGTCCACGTGCCACGGCTTTTTATCCACGTGTCTCCTGAGGTCTGCCTGCTTTTAAATCATTTTCCTGATCGACTCCCAAACTTGTGCAGCATCTGACTGCCGTGAGGGTCAAGTCTGAGGTGGCTTCTCTCCTGCTCACATGCGGGGCGTCCCCGAGGAGGCCTCCACCAGCACTGCAGGCAAGGGGGGGGCGGGGGGGAGCCCAGCTGGGCCTAGGGCACGGAGCTGGAGGTGGTGAGGGTGGTGGCGGCCACAATGGGCGGGGAGGGAGGACACCAGGCTGAAGGGGACACAGAGACCATCCCAAAGGGCTTCCACCGTCAAGCGAAAGGTGGGTCTGAGGTCTCAGTGGTTGCGGGAGGGGAGCGCTGGGCGCATGGCTTCAGGGCACTTTTGAGAAGAGATACAATGTTACAGACCCGGGGGAGCCCCCAGGCTCTCTCCTCCTCAGGGACCCCCCCCACCCTCTCCCCCAGGTCAGGGTGCGCCGCCCCCACACACATTTCTACACTTTTATCCCTTCTCGTTGGATCCACAAGCGGCCAGAGGAGGCGGTCACAATGGGCGGGGAGGGAGGACACCAGGCCGAAGGGGACACAGAGACCGTCCCAAAGGGCTTCCACCGTCAAGCGGAAGGTGGGTCTGAGGTCCCAGTGGTTGCGGGAGGGGAGCGCTGGGCGCATGGCTTCAGGGCACTTTTGAGAAGAGATGCAATGTTACAGACCCGGGGGAGCCCCCAGGCTCTCTCCTCCTCAGGGACCCCCCCCACCCTCTCCCCCAGGTCAGGGTGCGCCGCCCCCACACACATTTCTACACTTTTATCCCTTCTCGTTGGATCCACAAGCAACTGATTGTCAGAGCATTTGAAAAATTCACATAAATGCACTCGAACCTGGCCTGTCCTCCCATCACTTACTCTTCTCTTTCAACATTGTTTTCAAGATTTCCCCTGGTGCCCTGGCTGGTGTGGCTCAGTGATCAGAAGGGTCCTGGGTTTGATTCTGGTCAAGGACATGTGCTGGGTTTTGGGCTCCATCCCCAGCGTGGGGCCTGCAGGAGGCAGCTGATCCCTGATTCTCTCTCATCATTGATGTTTCTCTCTCCCTCTCCCTTCCTCTCTGAAATCAATGAAAATTTATTTTAAAAAATATTTCCGCCGAAACCGGTTTGGCTCAGTGGATAGAGCATCGGCTTGCGGACTGAAAGGTCCCAGGTTCGATTCCGGTCAAGGGCATGTACCTGGGAATAAATACTTTTGCTTTTATAAATTTGCTAGGTTTTTTGTATAATTTGATCTTGCTAATGGGATTGACTGCTATAAATGATATGTAGTGATAAGTTATTACATATTCAAGATGTAAAGTTGAGCTCAGTGCATAGAGCCTCAGCCTGCCCACCAAAGGGTCCTGGGTTTGATTCTGGTCAAGGACATGTGCTGGGTTTTGGGCTCCATCCCCAGCGTGGGGCCTGCAGGAGGCAGCTGATCCCTGATTCTCTCTCATCATTGATGTTTCTCTCTCCCTCTCCCTTCCTCTCTGAAATCAATGAAAATTTATTTTAAAAAATATTTCCCCCTGTTGGTGCACTTGGTGGGAAGGGGAGTTGTCCTCTCTGATGGCTGTAGAGCTTTCCCTGGGAGAATGAACCACAATGTATACAATCTCTCCACGCCGGCCCACGGGGCTGCCACGGACACGTGCGCGCAGGTGTGGCTCGTTCCCCCGTCAGCGGGCAGCTGCCCCCGCACCTTTGCCACGTGTGCTCAGCTACTTCCCCAAATCGTGCAGATTTCCGCTCCCAGCGGGGGAGGGCCGTCCCCCCCACACCTGCTCTGGCGCTTGGCATCGCCGCCCCTCTGCCTCCCCAGGAACAGGGCGGCGGTGTGACTTGGTTGGCTTTTCTCTGAGTATGAAAGCGAAGTCAGACAACAAGGACGAACACAACACAGAAACTGAGAATCCCCGGCGATCGCTCTCAGCGTTGGTGGTGAAGCAGCGCGGCTGCCCCGCAGCTTTGCTCGCTGCGCGCACGCACACACGCGAGGACGGACGGTAACCCCTGCTGCAGCCATGGCTCCCGCTCGGTGCTTTTCAGGGCCCACACGGACCCACTCCTGTGGCCGCTTTTTTTGTGAGTGCCTGCCGACGGGTTTCCTCGCTCAGCTCAGAATTCAGGGCCACACGTAGCA